AAAAACATAGCAGAGAAATGATTTGTGTCTTATTATAAATTTAAAACAACATTTTGATACTCATTACTAAATTCTTAGCTAAAAAACAATGTTTTATCACAACATTAAATAACATTTGGATTTTACATTGAATCATAAGTGTTTGGATTAATTAAGAATACTTATGATTAAAATAACTCAAAACTCAAATATCTATTTGTACTGCCATTGAAGTGAAAGCCATTTTCATTTTTTATTTCATGACTTTCGGTGCTCTAATTAAATAAAAATATATTAAATTAAAATTTAGTCAAATTTTTACAATAAGTTAATTCTTATACGATATCAATGTATTGAAACGCTTATAACTTTTGTCATAACGATTTAATGTAAACCAGTTGTGTATTCAAGTGTAATAATAATAAATTATAATAAAAATTAAATGATTTATTATATAATATATAATATATGAAATATAAATGATAACTTTTAATTCATTTGGTAATTAACATATTAATCGTGACAAAACATAAATATGTACAACATTTTTATATATTGTTTGCAATCATTTATAACATGTTTTCACAGACATAATCAACTCAACGGGGAATACAATTCACAGAATCCTAAATGATTTCATCATTAAATGGAAAAAACTTCCTATTATACTGTACTATAGGTAACTATCGTTAAACTGTTATCACTTATAAGTAAATCTGAATGAAATAGGCATTTATCGCTAATTTGTGACATTTTTGTATGCAAAGTATATTTCATCAATTATAATAGGTTTAGTAAAATGTAAATCAATGTTAACTATTTGTTAATTTAGACAACTTTTGCCATTTAAAAACTTTACGTCAAGACATTGACATTGCAGTGAACATTACTTTACAACAATATTATGTTAGCTATAGTTTGCTAAAGTATTTCATAAAACTTAACCAACATTTGTAACGAAAATGTTTGAAAAAGGCTCTCAATTAAGCAATAAATAGGTATTAGTTATGATTAGAGGGTTGACTGTAATTAAGATGAGTGTTAATTACATGGCCTGTACTGTACTCTATGTAACGTCAATACGTGTACATCACTTATGATTACAACTTTGTATTCATTCTATGAATGGCTTTACGTTTACAAACAATTCATTCATTCGTTACTCAATTCATAACAATTTGCCGTAATTTGTGCCCAAAATACACAATAAATTCTTTGGCCATACAATCAAATCTCGGTATAAATGACTATATTTTTGCTATTATTACTCATTCAAGAGTAGATTAATTGGCAAAATTAAATTCAATATTAAATATAACAATAAATGTGATCAATAATGAGCACTAAATGTTTGGATGTAATGACTATATTGTGTGCAACAAATGTGGGGACAGTTTGAGCAGAGGTTTGACTGTAAAGGGAGTGATCTTTGAGGTGAACGCCATTTGCATTGAAGACAAAACACATACAAAACAAGTGATTCATTAAATCTCTGATAACTCTGATTGAGTGCTTGTGTTGACCATCGAGTGAGACATCCATTGAATGATCACTAGATTTGAATGACTACTTGTCTTAGAGAGAGTGATATGAAGTGATGTCATATTCAGTGACCACTGAAGGCATAACTCAATCGCGACCGCAACTCAACCCATCGTTACCACAGTTACCACAGCGTCCGTCACATCCAACACATCCCAACGCAATGCCGGTCTCCGCGCCCAACGAGAAGACCATATTATGGCAGCAAAACCAATACATGGACTCCGGTATCCATTCCGGGGCCACAACTCAGGCGCCGTCACTGACCGGTCGGGAGGAAGACCTGGAGTCGGATGCGATGGCCTTTGATTGGGACCCGAACTTCGGTCAGGCGTTTACCGACGAAGCGGTGGATGAGATGAACCAACAGCTGAATCAGACGCGTTCGCAGAGAGTGAGGGCCGCTATGTTTCCCGAGACACTGGACGAGGGAATGGAGATCCCGTCCACACAGTTTGACTCAACACAACCCACAGCTGTTCAGCGGCTGTCAGAGCCGTCGCAGATGTTGAAACACGCGGTCGTGAATCTGATCAACTATCAGGACGACGCAGATCTGGCCACTCGTGCCATCCCTGAGCTGATCAAACTGCTGAACGATGAGGACCAGGTGGTGGTCGGACAGGCGGCTATGATGGTCCACCAGCTCTCCAAGAAGGAGGCCTCGAGACACGCCATCATGAACTCACCCCAAATGGTGGCCGCACTCGTCAAAGCCATGTCTCAGTCCAACGACTTGGAGACCACCAAATGCGCGGCCGGTGTCCTCCACAACCTCTCGCAACACAAACAGGGATTACTCGCTATCTTCAAGTCCGGCGGAATCGCGGCTCTCGTGAAGCTCTTGAGCTCTCCCGTGGAGTCTGTGCTCTTCTACGCGATTACGACTCTTCATAATCTACTCCTACATCAGGAGGGATCCAAAATGGGTGTCAGACTCGCCGGTGGACTCCAGAAGATGGTCGCACTCTTGCAGAGGAATAACGTTAAGTTTTTGGCCATTGTTACCGATTGTCTTCAGATCCTGGCGTACGGTAATCAAGAGGGAAAACTCATTATTCTGGCGTCTGGAGGACCCGCAGAATTGGTCCGAATTATGACCCGATTTACTTACGAGAAGCTCTTGTGGACCACTTCCCGAGTTCTCAAAGTGTTGTCCGTCTGTCCGAGCAATAAGCCGGCGATCATCCAATCGGGAGGTATGCAGGCGTTGGCCACACATCTAACCCATCAGAATCACAAACTCGTTCTGAACTGTTTGTGGACACTTCGCAATCTGTCGGACGCGGCCACCAATCAGAACAATCTTCAGCCTTTAATGCAGGTATGGATCTGTTGTCTAAATATTGTGATTATGATTTAAAGATTAATTTGTTTGTTTGATTGGCGCAGAGCTTAGTTCAGTTGTTGAACACATCGGACATAAATGTGGTGACGTGTGCGGCGGGTATACTGTCTAACTTGACGTGCAATAACCAGAACAACAAGACTATTGTCTGTCAAGTGGGAGGTATTGAGGGTTTGGTTCGCACTATAATACAAGCGGGAGATCACGAAGAGATCACTGAACCGGCGGTTTGTGCGCTCAGGCACTTGACGTGCAGACACGCCGAGTCAGAAATGGCTCAAAACGCTGTTCGACATCACTATGGCTTACAAGTGATCAGTAAACTCTTGAACCTTCCGAGCCGTTGGCCACTAATTAAAGCGGTGATCGGTTTGATCCGCAATTTGGCACTTTGTTCAGCCAATCACGAGCCGCTCCGAACTCACGGCACAATTCCACGACTCGTTCAGCTGTTGTCCAAAGCATATCAAGAGACTGGACAGCGATCGAGCGTTGCATCCAATGGCAGCCAATCGAGTGCTTTCACTGATGGCGTCCGAATGGAAGAGATTGTTGAGGGAACCGTTGGAGCTCTTCATACCTTAGCTAAAGATGTCCACAATCGGGCTGTCATTCGCAGTCTCAATGTTATTCCCATTTTCGTGAAGTTGTTGTACAGCGAAGTGGAAAACATTCAACGCGTGGCCGTAGGGGTGCTCTGCGAACTCGCCAATGATAAAGAAGGTTTGACCCATTGATTGATTCATTTGATTTGATTGGTAACTCACTGTCTCTCTGACCACTGATCAGGTGCTGAGATGATCGAAGCACAAGACGCCACATCTCCTCTTACAGAACTATTACAGTCTCGTAACGACGGAGTGGCCACTTATGCGGCGGCTGTGCTCTACAGCATGTCTCAGGACAAGTCCCAAGACTACAAAAAGCGTCTTTCGATGGAATTGTCGAATTCCTTATTTCGTGAAGACGGCGCCAATTGGGGACCAACTAATGCTGACATCGATATGGGAATGTTGGCCGCAGACGACACCTTTCACGACCCCATATACCACGGAAGTCAGGGACCCTCTAGTGTTCACTCGACCGGCAGTCGTCACAATCCATACCATACGGGAACATATGATACACAAGTATTGTTGACACAATGTTATTGAATACCAGTTCCTATATTTACCAAACATTATCTCATTCAGGGACTCGACCCTATGGGCCCACACGGAGGTTATGTTCATTCAGTGATGTCTACAATGGATGCCCCGATGGATATGGGAGAACCAACTGATCTCAACTTTGATGCGCTCGAAGGGGCCCTCAATCCTATGCCTCCACACCCGCAGCAACAACAGCAACAACAACAAGGAATGACAGGACCTGTCAATGCTTGGTATGTATTATTTGTATTATTTAATTGCCAATAATTATCTAATGGATTGTATTGTTTACGGCACAGGTATGACACCGATCTCTGAACAAATGATACCAAATGAAAACAAATACGTGTTTCCCAACTCTATTACAACTACTAAACGTTTGGTCATAAAACGAATCGTGTTTTAAAAACATTATAATTGACTATTATTTCTAATATAACTTAAATTCATGAATCGATGGTATTTTTGTCATTATTTTTTATTCTTAATTTTACCCGATTTTTAGTATTGATTCCTATTTATCGTAGTTTTGATTTAATTATTTAATCGGTTTAATGATCGAAAATTCTGGATGTCGTCAAAGCATTCCAATGTGTTCTATGGCTTTGTCTTCCTTTCAGTTTTAGTGCCAATTATTATTATATATAGACTTGAAATGAATTGTGAGAACAATTGCTTTTTCAAAGAGATGATACTTTCTTCAAAGTTGTGCTTCATTTTTAATTATTTAATCATTTTTACGTAATTTCGATATCAAAATATGCCAAACATTTCTGCAATTTATAGTTAAATTGATGGCAAAGCAATCATTACTATTGACTTCTTATATGATTTCTAAATATATATTATATAAGTTTTACTAATTGTTTGGAACTCTATTGTGATTCCTAAAAGACTTAATGAAAACATTATATTATTTGTCCATTTTTACAGTTATTATGTATTGAATTATTATGAAAATCTTAATAAACATTTTCTAAAAAATATTTTCTAACGAATGATTTTTAATTATTTAAATAATAAATGTGTGAAAAATTGAATCATAAAAATTGTTTTTTATGCATTTCATTGATGTCTTCATTGAAATATAAAATACTTTTTATTAAATACAAAGTTTATACAGTATAAGTTATACAATATATTACTGTTATAGTGTAAAATATGTATAATAATATGTATTAAAAAGCAACAAATTCTATTAGACTGCGTGCGAAGCGAGCGTTGGATTAATTGACAATTGAGAGGTAGATATGTGTTGAGAGAGTGTATGCAATAAACATGAATTGATTCGTTTGTAAAAGTGTTTCCTTACGATAGGTATTGGCTGTAGAAGTAGTGGCGGAATAGTTGTCGAAGAATGGCAATCGTATACAGGTTTGCATTGGCTTCCAGTGCTGGTTATGCTGTGCAGCGAGTGTTTGAGCCTAGAGTTGGAGGTATTGCCGGATCTGGCACTGGGAGAGAGAGGCAGAGAGAGGGAGAGTGAGTTAGTGGATGAGTACAGTGTTGGGCAATACTATGGAGAGTGTAGTAATATTGGTGTCTCGTTGTGTACAGTGTGTGGAGTGTGTAGTGTATAGTGTAGTGGGAATGGAGTGAATAGGACTGTAGGACTGGTAGGGAATGTGTTTTTTGCGATCCTCCCTAACATTGCATTGAATTGTTGTACAGTTTGTGCAGTTCTCGAGTCTATGCATTCACTCACTTGAGTCAGTGTTTGTGCTGTTTCTCCTGTTTGTGGCCTTTTGTTACATTCAAATTGTATGTGTATTTATATAATAAGACACTAATCGTAATCACCACTCATTGCGTACAACATAGGACCCAATGATGACAACAATCTGCTAAATCTGGTCCAAGTTTGACCACCAAATGACCGGCCATTGTATTGATGGATGAAAATGGTAAGTGAAGGCCCGATACAAGTGACCGACGCTTTAAATGGCAAACAAACCAATTGTATGTCAATGTTATTGCAGTCAATGCTATAATTGTGTTAATTGTTGTCACATTCATATGCCATCACATCCTAAGACATGCCTATTGTCTGCCAATCAGTGATTGAAAGCCACCAAATGATGGCTACTATAGACTTAATGAACAATTATTTGACTATTTTTTACACTAATTTATACGAGTGTTAAGTCTGAGAGAAATGTGTATTAATTGAGCGCTCATTTCTGGCACTTTTAGCTGAGATAAGCGGACAAAACGGGTCATTGACTCACAAATCCATACACTAATCATTATTTCATTTATTAATAATATATTTTTAACCATTAATTCAATTGATATGATTTGAAAGCCATTTGTTTGGCTGCGAGTAATCAATGATTTTGATTTTGGGTAACCATTTAAGCCATACATTGAATGCAAACGTTTAAATGCCTATCGCTTTGAGTGTGCATTGAGTGACAAAATGGGCTAAAATTGACAATTAATTTGTCACTACAATTGGTCTGCAAATTGTTTGTCTATTAATGAGTGATGACATTCAAAGAGCTGATGATTACATGACCACATATAACATACTGTTATCTCAATTGTCAATCGATTGAAATTTTAAAGCAAACAATAAGTTATAATTAATATTTAGATAATTAATAGTAGTTTTATTGATTTGCTATTAATATGTTTGTATTGTCGGTACCGACTGTTAGACACCACTACTACTACTGTATTGTAGTTTACAATCAAGTGTTTGAATGCAATTGTGTTTCCAGTTTTGAGTATCAAAAATATGAAAAATAATCGATTGTTTGTCGACACGAATCACCAAAAAAGCTAATTAACTATCAGTCGATCGATTCCTTAGCCATCACTCTATCAAACACTAACTTCTCCTACAAATACTCTATCCATAAATAGTTAGTCTCCTCTCAATTCAATTGTTGATTGCATTTAAAGTTCAAATTACATCTCATTTACACTTTGAGGTACTCCTCGTTTAAGTGCTAACCAATAGTATCATAATTTAAGCATTTTAGCCCTATTTAGCTGCACATTCAATGACAACAATATGTATATCAAATTAAACGATATGTAATGACAAATATGTTTTGAGAAGAGATTTTGTCAAATATCTTTGCAAATGAGCGTCAAATCAAAATTACATGTTAAACAGTAATTTCAATGTTTTTACTACTTTCTATAGATTTACAATTGTATTATTTAAATACGGTACAAGCAAAGCATACAATAAATTAACACTAATTGACTTTATTATTAATATTAATATTTAGTTACCAATAATTATTGAGCTCATAATTAGTTTCTAATTAGTATTATATTTATATTAATTTGTTGTTCAATTAGCAAATTGTTGATAATTAGTGAAATTAATTGCAGTAAAAGTTGTATTAATGTTAATATTAATTAAAAATTGTTTTTAATTTCTAATTGAATGACTTATCAATGGATTAGACGCTGATTTCGATGCCTATTGGGAAGAAGAGGCCCGAAATCCGAATCGAAACCGAATCCGAATCGGACGTCAATATCAGGCGACTGTTCCGCCGATTCTAAAACAAGGTTTACATCAAATAATTGGTTATTGTTTTTGAACAATATTTAACAAACAAATGAATTTGAAAAACAGGTGAAAGTGATGGCAGAAATCTTGAAGAGTTAGAGACATTGAGGTGGAAGTCAGACAATGAGCTAACAGATCAACAATTGGACGAATACTTATCAGTGGCCAAAGCGGTCGGTCTGTTTGCCCGAGCGATCGACAAGAATTATGTCGAAAATAATAGCGTTAACAGCGATAGTCATAAAGAGCCCGAAAATTCAAGCGAAACCAATCCTAACAACACCTCCAATGAAAACACGGAAAATTGCGACAAAAGCGACGATAAGACTAAAGACGACTCTTCAGCTTCGGGCTCGACCTCCACTTTGAAGGACCACAACATTCAAAACACACTCAAAGGACTGGTGAGAACTGATGATAATTATTGTACAATTGATTGATTGCACAGTTGTAACCATATATTTAACCGATTATTATAGTCTGAGTTCGTGTCTTCACATCATCCCTCACATCATACGACCGGATGTCGAGTTGAGACAATTCCAGAAGCGGTGAATCCATCGGAAAGTGCAAACAATTTAACGAATCAGTTGTCGGCCGAATGGAACCAAAATGAAATGAAATTGTTTTCGCGAGCGCTTGAGGTTTGCGGCAAGAATTTCGGTGCAATAAAGAAGGACTTCCTTCCCTGGAAATCAGTGAAGAGTATGGTAAGCATTGCTTTTAATACTAGACATCAAAACACTTCATATTATCGTAAATAATACCGATTCGAGACGAATACTTAAGTCCTCCAAACTTTTTCCAATAAGTATAGCAACTCTGACAGAGCCGGCACTGGAGGTGTGGCGGACCCCATGCATACCATTGCGATGATGTTTGTTCTGTTTGGCAGACAATAAACAAGTTATAGATAGTAAGTGACATCGAAAACATGTCAATCCTTACTGTAACAGCTCTCACACGCTCTACCATTCGCTCCATTGGCGTCATTCGACAAATTCATACCTCCGTTAACAGCATTGGGTTTGTTATTACTTAAGCGATAAAACAATTAATTGAATTTGTGTTTGGATTGAGTGCTGCAATCACTTACTAGTTCGGAATGTAAACCTGTTTTAGTTTACTCTCGGCCTCAACTGCTTTCACCCGTTTTTGCTGAACATATCTGTCGGTTGTTTTCCACATATAATAATATTCGACTAAATTCTTAAGGCTTTTCCACGGAAGCTAATAATCGGCAAACAATTCAAAGCTTGAAACGAGATATCAAAACCAAAAAAGCGTAACAATTCTTACAAAGTCTTGTCGAATATCGTTGAAGTCTTTGCCGTACTTTTCGAGCGCCTCTTCGAACAGATTAGCCTCGGATGCGGACCACTCCTCCATCTCGTCGCGACACAGAACGGGGCCGTTGTTAGGGACTAGACTGCAGACGGCTTTCCCGATATCGTAATCGTGTTGATGAAGGACTTGCATTGCGTGCAATAGAGTTATATCTCTTGAAGCGGCGGCGGCCGACATATGCAGACTCGGCTGCTTTATAGAACTCGAACAGTCCAGCGCTCGAGCGAACGTTCCCACAGATCTGTTCACACATTTCCAAATACATTATTATTGCACAACAATTGGCTTTAATAAAGCAAACCTTGAAATAATCAAGTATTGATCAATTTGTTTATCACTAATGCTATGTTCGGGTGTATAGACTAAGGTCTCGAGCTGTTCAACAACCCTATTATCGGACTCTCCGGGCGCGAGTGTGTTAGGGGGCACCTCTGCCTGATACCTCTGGCCGACACGAATCTCTCCCCTATCGGCCAAAAGGGTCTTCTGGTGCGGATCGTAGACCAGTGTATAGAAGAAGGCGTCCTCTTTGTTGAGATAAGAGGCCAACGATTCCGTCTCATTGAGAAGAGTGACCGAACATTTGCCCCGTATATGAGTGGCCGGAAGTGTCTCGACCTGACGCGATAAAAATAACTCCCGGAGTTTGAGCTGATGTTTGTTTTTCTCGGAGAATTGTTCGGCTTCTCTCTCCTGTTCTTCTTCTAAGGCACCTTCAGTTCAAGCGTTCATTATATTAATTATCATTAATTTAATGCCAATTAATGTTAATTTTGCTAATTTTATTTAAATGGACTTAAATTCTATAATATGTTAAATAGATTGTGTTTGAATGCAAAGTTACTCAATAGGATGTGAACCCTTAGCTCTAAATACAAGAGGACAGACATAACTACAAAGTGTATTAAACACTACAATAATGAGTGGCAAAAGTTAAGAATAGTTGCAAAGCATAGGTTGTGAACACAGAATGGAAGTCAAATCGATTGCATTTTAGATCAATAACTAAGAAATCTTTAGTTATGAGACTTAACAACAATTCAGGCGCTCTCAGAGATAATTGATTTTAATTATAATTTTAATTAAAATTAACTTTTAAATTAATATTTTTATAGAATTATATGTATAACAAATGTTTAATAAATAATATCTACATTTTGTGTCAAAATAATCATTTATTATAATGCTATTAAAAAAGTCCTTTAAATGTAATAAATGCCTATTTTTAGTATCGATTCCCTTCTTAACGTCAATTTAGGATCAAATTTCAATAATAATAGCAACCAATAGGTTGTGTATAAAATCATAAGCAATACTCAAAATGACAATACATTAAAGTTATAATTATATGGCTATTAGTGCTGCCAATGGCTGAGTGTTTATACAATAGTGTAGACAATAGAGTAAGAAACGTGTCATCAAAGAGTATGGGATTAGAGGATAAGGTTATGCAAAGTGGCCGAGAAGTAGCACACAATTAGTGATTGAGTATATCCTATAGTGTTTTAGTGTATGAGAGAGTGGCAGTAGTGATGCTCCGGTGCTCTGTTGGCGAATACCTCACAAATTAGAGAACTGGTGGATAGGGATAGGGAGGGGTCGAAGCAATTCCAGGCAAAACTAATGAAGTTTAAGTCATTTCGGTCGCACTATACACACACATACACACCATTGCTATAGACTATAGTGTATGTGTAGAGCAATAATTATAATACATATAAGACATTCAACACACATCTCATACAATCCTTTATCTAAACTATTAAAACTACTTTTAAATCAATTTTCGGTACTAATTGTCCACTTTTTGATTGTGTTTTAGCGGTTCTTATATAATGAGTAAAACAATAATGAATGAGAGATAGAGAGCGCATAAAAAATGAGTGCGTGAAAGAGTGGGTAATTTATTAAGAGATGTGGTAGTGATGTCCCCCTAAGGGTTGTTCCCCTCTCTCTTCCCTCGAGCCAGTCGTCGATTGATATAAAGGGCAGGAAGAAAGAGTATACTCTGACCAGAATTAGTTGACAGCCTGTGCTCTAGAGCTGAGACAAATTTATGGCACGGCTCACAACCAACACCACATCAATGCAGTCAATGCTATTGCCTACCAGTGCTGCACATATCATATCCTATATAACACACCAATACTCCACTCCATGTCTGCATCCAATCTAAGATTATTTTAAACTCAATGCACATATTGTTTGTCAGGCGCTACTCATTAACACCACTTCATTCTCCATAACCATTGCATTTGCATTTTTCCCATTCAAATACATTACAATATATACTATTATTCATACAACATATTAAAAACATATTTACTTTGATGTTTGTCCGCCAATACGATCAGTGATCCCGATATATCCCGGCGTCGGAAAAAGCACATCACTTTGGCCTCAACGTTGCCGTTAGGGGTCTGTTTGGAGCCGACATTCAATTACAATATTCACATACTATTATGCATTCAGTTTTTGCTCAAAAGTTATCACTGGGACTATGGATGACATCCAAAATTAGTTTTAATTATAAAATAGATCATCAATTTTCTTAATTAACAAATCAATGCCTATTTCTATTTTATTCTAATGTTTGAGACCTAAATGTCTGAAAAAGTGTCACTAAAAACACATGAGAAACAACAAGATTTGAAAAGATGGCAATAAATGTATCCCAAAATATAATTTCAAGGTTTGAGTTTAGAGTGAAAAGAAAGTGATCCTCAAATGCATTGGTCTCTCATTAATGGATGGACTCATTGGGTCTGCCATTGTCTCAGACCTGAGCCATGAGTTATGGCTAACTTTTGAGCAACAAATTAATGTTGAGTTCATTGACTCTCACTTTAATTAATTCTTCGATTCTTCTGATCTGAAACGGAGTCGTCGTTGAGGTCTCGAAGTATACGTAATCTGGTAAAGTTAAGTATTATGTTTGGTTAATAAATAAGTAAAGCAGTGTTTAATTAATATTAAAGATTAGTATTAATTGTTTTGTTTTTCATAACAGTTTGTTTATAGTACTCACATACAGTATATACAGAACACAATTAAATCGAAAATATTAGATAATTATAAAACTTTACATTTATTAGCAAAATGTGTTAATTTTGGATTAATTAATGTTTTAATAGCTATTGTATTAATTGTCAAATGAATTGACAGATAAGTCAAGTGTTGACAATGAATGGCAATCGGAGGCCGAGTTTGGGACCAAAAAATAGCGGTATTTGCGTTATAAATGGGATAACAATAATGAGATAACCGGTGGTCAGAGGTCTATGAGAGGAGTCTGTATTGAATGGATTGCCGGCGAAAGCATTGATAGCATTCACTGAACGCAAAGCGCATACAAGAGAGCAGTGAATGCATTGACTGCTTGACTGCGCTATCAATTCAACAATTAATACATTTTCGTTGATAAGTTTTTTCATATGCAAAAAGACATTATTTCGAGATCAAAAATTAATTATCAGAATTGTACAGAATGGAGGCTGAGATATGTATAATAACCGGCGGTAAAGTGAGTAACTAATGCCAAAACCCGGATTCAATGGACCACTGATTGACACACTTTACGAACCATTGATAGGGATTAGCAAACCATACAAATTAATTGATCACTCATTCACTCAATGCTTATTAAAAGTGTTGTTTAGAGTGAGAGCCGAACCTATGATACAGTCATACAGACAGACATATTTGATGTTCGCTCACAACTCACACACGAGAAGAGAGAGCACAACTCAGTCTCTCCGACACCACTACACCATCTCTACCAGCGCTACATCAGATGGCACTCATCCCCACTCAAAGCCACCACTCATTAGAAGCATCACATCTGCACGTCAAATGTTACCTGTATAGTTTTGAAAACCAACTATATTCTCGTATTTAGCATCATGATGGAATGAAATACAATGTTTTACGTGTTTTTGGTGTTTAATTTAAATTTTTAAATTCCGTTAAAAATGATTTTACAATATAATTGTTTTTCTTAAATAAATAATAATAAAGTTAATTATTAATAATAAAAATCTTGATTTATATCTGATTTAGATTTCTGTCAATTTGTCGTAGTATTCAATTAATCGATATATTTATCAATGCATTGATGGCTTAGTTTACAGTCGATTTTTAAGAAAAACATTCACTGATTAATTAATATTACTTATTATATCATTCATATATAATTACAATATTTAAAACAAACTCTATGTTTTTTATTGAGAAATATGAGGCCTTTAATCGACTTTTACAGTTATTTTGTCCACAAATCTGGAAATAATTAGTTTGAGTTTGAACTACAAATCATTATAAACCCGACTATTGGTTGGTTTTGACAATTTCTTTGAATATCAATTAAGAGGGAAATGAAATTTGTTTTGCAAAACAGAGTTAAAGACGATTATTATCTACATTTGCGATACCAATACCTAAAAGTATTAAAACCAAAAGAATTCAATTCCTAATTATTTTGAGTTGAGTTCGCAATCATTTTCGATCGCTTTGTATCAACGAATCGGCAATGGATTGACAAACGGCTAATATAGTACTGTCCACTATTGGTAACTATTGTCCACTTATACCATACTTTGTATTGTATATGACTTGCTATGGACCGCAATTGGGGTCACGTCCGTCCACCAGAACTGCATCGGCCATACATTTAGCCCTTTCCTTATTGTTTGTGTCACTTTCTTTAGACGCTTGACTTGAAGACTGTCTCTCACCTATCAATACATTAAACATCAAATGATTGCTTTAACTCAAAGGTCTAGTCAAGTACCTGAGGAGTGATTAGGGGCTGGCATTCCATAGCCATAATAGTAACGATAGTATTGTTCATAAATAGGTAAATATGAAGCCAACGAGTTTTGAATGAAAGCTAGTTGTGAAGGAAGAGGTGGTGTCGTCGACGGCATGGATGACGGAGAACTCGGAGGCGAAGGTTTTACTTGTGATCGGTTTTCATATCCCTTTTGGCACAAATTGCTGGAAGACTTCACTTCTATTAGAAAGTATAAAACTATAAAACACTTGTGAAACTGGAAATAATAATTACCTTTTTTATGTTTGCTTTGACTTTGAGTCGGAGAAAGTGGTAAATAAGAAGGAAATGGAAAGACAAACGGCGACTGCAGTCGGGGAGGACTGGGAGACGACATTTTCGAGTTCTTGTCCTTTTCGTTATAACTATTATAGTTTGGCGCCGAAGAGCTCGTCGACAATGACTTAGTTTCAAATGGACTATAATTTGTTGACTTTCGTGTCAGGTCTACGGGCGCTGCACTCGACGGAACCGATTGAGAGGGCGTCGGCACTGAATGGGAGGACGATTGGGACGACGTTGAAGATGACGATGAAGAAGACGAGGTCGACATTCCCCACGAATTGGCAGTCGATTCATACCGCGAGTGGCGTTGTGTTTGTCCGAGTGGTGCCGCCGAATGGGCTTTTGGTGGCTGTAGTGAAGACTGCTTCTCAACTATCGTGTGATACCATTTGTTTTCCAACGAATTCTGAGAATTTCTCCTCTCGTTTGTCGTTTCATTCGATGAGCGCTTCTTGTGTTCAATAATGTCATCATTGGTGGCAAAGTTGGGACTCAAGTGCTCTCTCTTCACAGAAGTGCACTCAGTCTTCATGAGACGATTGCACGGATTTGAGACATTTGTCTCCATTTTTTGATCTTTTAGCGATAGAGACGTCGGCGAAGACAATGGTTTGAGGCAATTGTTTTCGAGTTTGACTTTTGCTTTCTTAGCGATGAAAGCCGACGGCGACGGCACTAAAGCACTTTCATTGCTTTCCAGAGAGTCGTCATCACTCGACTCATTGGACGCCTCATCCAATTCATCATTATTTAAATATTTGTGATTTGAATGGTTCGGTAGGTCTAAGTCGTGGCGTTCAATGAGCAGCCGTTTGTTAGTCTTATGCAGTTTTTCTCGTGCCTTCTTTGCGGTGTCCAACGACTCAACCCATTGACACTTCTGTCCCAACAACTCTTGTTGAGCATTCAGTTTAAGGACTAACTGTCCGTCCAAATAGAACTTTAACGAACCGACGGTCGAAATGTCTCGCGACTCTTGAATAGCGGTTGGAAGTATAGGCTTCGCCTTTAGAGGTTTAACTTCCTGACCGCTAACACCCGAAGCCTTTAAATCATCTAAACTTGTCTTCACGTCATAATCATTGTCTAAAAAATGGTGCAAATTATGTCTTTGATCGCAATTGAGTTGTGGTTTGGTTTGAGCGCAAGCCATGAACTTAGAGACTGAGGACAGGATATCCAACGCGAATGAATTGCTAATAGAGTCGGGTTTTATGTTGAGTATGTTTTCACTTTGATTTGTGGCGTTTGGATTCAGGTTCTCAGGTCTCGGCGGGGAATGTGTACTCTCTCTATGGATTCCCAAATAGTAGAACTCAATGATACTCTTCACTGATTTCCAGGGAAGGAAGTCCTTCTTTATTGCACCGAAATTCTTGCCGCAAACCTCAAGCGCTCGCGAAAACAATTTCATTTCATTTTGGTTCCATTCGGCCGACAACTGATTCGTNTAATTATTTAATCATTTTTACGTAATTTCGATATCAAAATATGCCAAACATTTCTGCAATTTATAGTTAAATTGATGGCAAAGCAATCATTACTATTGACTTCTTATATGATTTCTAAATATATATTATATAAGTTTTACTAATTGTTTGGAACTCTATTGTGATTCCTAAAAGACTTAATGAAAACATTATATTATTTGTCCATTTTTACAGTTATTATGTATTGAATTATTATGAAAATCTTAATAAAACATTTTCTAAAAAATATTTTCTAATTCTAATGATTTTTAATTATTTAAATGATAAATGTGTGAAAAATTGAATCATAAAAGTTATTTTTTATGCATTTCATTGATGTCTTCATTGAAATATAAAAAATACTTTTTATTAAATACAAAATTTATATAACAATGTAAAATATGTATAATAATATGTATTAAAAGCAACAAATTATATTAGACTGCGTGCGAAGCGAGCCTTGGATTAATTGACAATTGAGAGGTAGATATGTGTTGAGAGAGTGTATGCAATAAACATGAATTGATTCGTTTGTAAAAGTGTTTCCTTACGATAGGTATTGGCTGTAGAAGTAGTGGCGGAATAGTTGTCGAAGAATGGCAATCGTATACAGGTTTGCATTGGCTTCCAGTGCTGGCTCTGCTGTGCAGCGAGTGTTTGGCTGAGCCTAGAGTTGGAGGTATTGCCGGATCTGGCACTGGGGCAGAGAGAGGGAGAGTGAGTTAGTGGATGAGTACAGTGTTGGGCAATACTATGGAGAGTGTAGTAATAGAGTGTCTCGTTGTGTACAGTGTGTGGAGTGTGTAGTGTATAGTGTAGTGGGAATGGAGTGAATAGGACTGTAGGACTGGTAGGGAATGTGTTTTTTGCGATCCTCCCTAACATTGCATTGAATTGTTGTACAGTTTGTGCAGTTCTCGAGTCTATGCATTCACTCAGTGTTTGTGCTGTTTGTGGCCTTTTGTTACATTCAAACTGTATGTGTATTTATATAATAAGACACTAATCGTAATCACCACTCATTGCGTACAAAACAGGACCCAATGATGACAACAATCTGCTAAATCTGGTCCAAGTTTGACCACCAAATGACCGGCCATTGTATTGATGGATGAAAATGGTAAGTGAAGACCAATACAAGTGACCGACGCTTTAAATGGCAAACAAACCAATTGTATGTCAATGTTATTGCAGTCTATGCTATAATTGTGTTAATTGTTGTCACATTCATATGCCATCACATCCCAAGACATGCCTATTGTCTGCCAATCAGTGATTGAAAGCCACCAAATGATGGCTACTATAGACTTAATGAACAATTATTTGCCTATTTTTTACACTAATTTATACGAGTGTTAAGTCTGAGAGAAATGTGTATTAATTGAGCGCTCATTTCTGGCACTTAAGCTGAGATAAGCGGACAAAACGGGTCATTGACTCACAAATCCATACACTAATCATTATTTCATTTATTAATAATATATTTTTAACCATTAATTGAATTGATATGATTTGAAAGCCATTTGTTTGGCTGCGAGTAATCAATGATTTTGATTTTGGGTAACCATTTAAGCCATACATTGAATGCAAACGTTTAAATGCCTATCGCTTTGAGTGTGCATTGAGT